TTTTTTGGCTCAAAGTTGAGTCACAGGGCTGAGTTCAGGTTTGAAGGATGTCTAAGGACATCCTGTATTAGACATTGTCTGTATCAGACATTTAAACCTGGTCATTCTTTTTTTTTTTAAATGATTCTGAGTTTTGTTCCATAGTTTCCTCCCACTCTATCCAGGATGGTCTGTTGTGCTCCTGTACAGAGCAGTTGGCGGTGATAACCAGGTACCATCTGGTTTCAGGTTTCAGGGTCTTGGAAACTGGGATTCATGTGATCCATTAGCTTTTGGACTAATTGTTTCTCACCCCAACATTAATTGCAAAAAAAAAAAAATACTGGTAAGGGTGTGGAGAGACAGGACCCTCATACAGCTCTGGTGGGACTGTAAACTGGTACAACCACTGTGGAGAATGGTATGTTGCTGTTGGTGCTAAGTGCCCTTGAGTCGGTTCCAACTCATAGTGACCCTGTATAAGGTATCCTAAGAGCGGCTGGTGGGTTTGAACCGCTGATCTTGTGGTTAGCCGTCCAGTGCTTATCCTATAGCACCACACCAACTCTGTGGTACTCCTTAAAAAGTTGGAACTATAAATGTTATAAGCTCCAGGCATCCCATCACTAGGCATATATCCTAAAGAAAGAATAGAACCCCTGTTCATCGCAGCATTGTTCACAATGTCAGAAAGACAACCTAGTCTGCCCTTTGAAATCTCAAAGGTGATTAGGTTTAAAACACATCCTCATAGAAGTTGTTTAGTGCCGTCAAGTCGATTCCGACTCAGTGAACCACACAGCACCACACCAGAACTCCAAGATGATAAATGCTTATACAGCAGGTTCTATATTCAGGCACAGATCTAAATTGAAAAAAACAACAACCATATTTCTAACCCTGTATAGGGTTCTGTATAAGGAGCTCTGGTAGCGTAGTGGTTACAAATTGGGCTGCGAAACTTAAGGTCAGCGGTTCGAAACTACCAGCCGCTCTGCGGGAGAAAGATGAGGCTTTCTACTCCCGTAAAGATTTACACCCTCGGAAACCCTGTACAGGGTCGCTATGGGTCGGACCCGACTCGATGGCACTTAACAACAATAGGGTTTCCGAGGACCAGCTGGTGAACTTGAACGGTCAACCTTACAGTTCAAAGTGACCTTGAAGTCCAGCGACCCACAGCGCCACACCAGGACTCATAGAAGTAGCAGTCAGGAAATCAAATAAACTGCATTAGGCAAATCTGCTGCACAAGACCTCTTTAAAGTGTTCAAGAGTGAAGGTGTGAGTTTGAGGACTAGAGAGAGTGCCTGACCCAAGCCATGGTATTTTCAATAGCTTCATATGCATGTGGAAGGAGCTCTGATAGCGTAATGGTCTGCAGTTCGAAATTGCCAGTGGTTCCGTGGGAGAAAGATGAGGCTTTTTGTTCCCTTAAAGATCTACAGCCTCAGAAACCTTATACAAGTTCGCTTTGAGTCAGAACGACTCCACGGCACATACCCACCAACAACACCATATGCATGTGAAAGTTAAACAGCGAATAAGGAAGACCATAAAAGAATTGATGCATTTGAGTTGTGTTGATGGAGAAGAATATTAAAAGTGCCACGGACTGCCAGAAGAACAAACAAATCTGTGTTGGAAGAAGTTCAGCCAGAATGCTCCTTGGAAGCCAAGATAACTAGACTTCCTCTTTCATATTTCGGGCATGTTAACAGGAGGTACCAGTCCCTGGAAAAGGACATCATGATGAAGTGGAGGGACAGCAAAAAAGAGAGAGACCCCCCAACAAGATGGATTGGCACAGTAGCAACAGTTGTGAGGATGGCACAGGATCTGCATTCTGTTATATGTAGGGTTGCTCTGGGTCAGAAATGAGGGGACTTAACAACCCTGACTTGGCCTCATTAACATCATAAAAGAACCCTGTTCTCCAAGGGGATTAAAACCACAGGACTATGGGTTAGGATTCCAACACATGTTTTGGAGGTACACAACATAACATCATGGAAGTGTGTTGTCCGATGGTGTTCCAACGTGGGGCTGATAGAACTAGAACAAGTGCAGCCAGGGCGTCTGTAAGGAAGCAGAGGTAAGATGGGATCACAGGGACTCTTGCCATCATTCGAGTTTGAAAATCCCTCAGACTGCAGAGTCCAGAGTGTAGAGTGTAATACCTTGCATTTATGGCACATTTAAAAAGTATTTCTTTTTCTAAAAGAAAATGCCTTAATTAAAAAAAACAAAACTAAACTAACAACATTTGTCTGTTGATGGATAGTTGTGTTGTGTTCCAGTTTGATGAATAAATGTATTATAGAACATTTTAGGCAAATAAAAGTAGAAGGTGGAAATCCTACTAACCAGAGGTACCACTGTTGTTGTTGTTAAGTGCCGTCGAGTCGTTTCCGACCCATAGCGACCCTGTACAGGGTTTCCGAGGCTGTAAATCTTTACAGGAGCAGAACGCCTCATCTATATCCCGCGGAACAGCTGGTAGTTTGGAACTGCTGGCCTTAAGGTTCGCAGCCCGATTCGTAACCACTACGAATAAGGAAAAGCCGTTTCACATATCAGGTTTTGTAAATTTTGTATAGAATTTTGTCTAAGTGAGATCATACTGTACATGCTATTTCTAGCCTGCCTTCTCTATGTTGAAGTATGTTATGTGGGTATCATTTTGTATTCACAGGAATAACCCCTGGAACCAGAAGGTCACAAGTTCTATTTCCAGTCATTCACATGTCAAAAGGAGATGCAGAGAAATCTCAGCATGGTCACACAGCCATTGAGAAAGCCAAGAGTTCACGTTCCTAACTTTGATCAGATTGTTACTTCTATCGTGTTACTAGGAGTCCTGGTGTGGTGCCGTGGGTTAAAGCGCTGGCCTGCAAGATCCATTTGAAATAGCAAGGTTGGCGGTTCAAGCTCGGAAACCATACACAGGGTCTCTGTGTTGGAACCGACTTAGATGGCACTTGACAACACCAACAACCATGTAACTATTAAAACCTCCTATTTTATGTGCCAAGATCCTGGGTGACAACAAGCAGCTTCAGATAGACGTAACTGATTGATTGGTGGCTCTGTGGAAGGGAAGGCCTGGCTGTTTACTTCTATAGAGACTGCAGCCACGAAAACCCTGTAGAGCAATTCTGCCATCACACATGGGTCTCCAATAACACTTAATGTCCCAAATAGAGTTTTCTCTCTGTGAGTTAAAACTTATCCCTCTCTTAAGAATTGTAGGTTGTGACTAAAATTCATCTGTATGAATTTTTTTTAAATTGCAATTTGGCTACCTTCTTGCTTTGCCAGGTCTTAGGGCCCAAAATTAGGCTACAAGGGCATTCCCTGGGGTAGGAGTCTCTCCCTTACCACATCCTGTGTGGTCAGTATTGAAGTGATGCTGATGGATTTCCTCTCCAGCTATACTTTTACTTGAATTATTTGTATTTATTTTTAAGATGATGTTGTTGTCGGTTCCAACTCATAGCAATCCTGTGTAGAGTTTCTGAAACTGTTAATCTTTGCGGTAGCAGAAAACTGGTGGGCTTGAACTGCTGGTCCATATAGTTCACAGTCCAGTGTTTACCCTACAGAGCCACTGAGCTCCTAAGATAATTGTTTTTGTTGGTAAGTGCCGTCGAGTCAGTTCTGACTCATAGCGACCCTTTATAGGGTTTCCGAGGAGCAGCTGGTGAATTTGAACCTTCAGCCTTATGGTTCAAACTGACATTGTGGTTCATTGAATTAGCACACAGCACCACTCCAGAACTCTAAGGTTATAAATGCTTATTCAGCAAGTTCTATATTCAGGCACAGATCTAAAATGAAAAAAATAAATATTTCTAAAAAAATCTTTATTGAAATGTAATTCATATACCATACAATCCATTCATCTGAAGTATTTCACTCGATGGTCTGTTTTAGTAATTTCACAGTTATGCAACCACCACAATCAATTTTAGTGACTTTTCCTCATCTTAAGAAAGAAATCTGGTATCTGTGAGCCATCACTCCCCATTTCTCTCCCTTCCCTCCACCCTTGGGTGACCACTCATCTGTTTTCTGTATCCGTAGATTTGCCTTTTTCTCAACATTTTAGTTCCATGAAAGTGTACAGTACTTATATGTGGCCTGTTGTGTCTGGCTTCTTTCGTATATATTTTTTGTTAAGCGCAGTTGAGTTGGTTCCGATCTTCAGCGACCCTGTATAAGGTTTCCAAGGAGCACCTGGTGAGCTTGAACCACCAACCTTGCAGTTCAAACCGATCTTGAAGTCCAGCACATTAACCCACAGTGCCACACCAGTACTCCTCTTTCATATAGCGTATTTTCCAGATTCAACCAAATTATAGCATATGTCAGTATTTCATTCCTTTGTATGGCTAGTTCATATTTCATGGTATGCATGGATATACTACAGTTAATTTATCCATACCTCATTCAATGGACAGTTGGGTGGTTTGCTTATTTTTGGAAATGAATAATGTTCCTGTGATCATTTTTGTGCAAGTCTTCTGTGGACTTAAATGCATCATTTCTCTTGAGGAATAGAATATCTGGGTCATGTGATAACTCTATGTTTAACCTTTTGAGGAACTGCCAGACTGGTTTTCAAACTGGATGTACCATTTTACACTCCCATGAACAATGGATGAAGGTTCCAGTTTCTCCACATCCTCAGTAACATTTATTATCCATCCTTTTGATACTTCAATTCTTATATGGTTGTTCTTACGCCGATTCTCAAGGTTGGTGAAACAGCAAGGATTCCTTATCTTGGTTTGTGAGAGGTTTATTTTATTAATTTCCCCAGGAGGCAGTTCTATGCTTAGTACTTGCTCTAGTGGTTGGCTGTGAAGTTGGTGTGCATGAAGCTAGCGTGTGAAGAAATTAGAGGCACTTGGCATCATTTTGAATCCAGGCTGTACCAGTGTGCTTAAAAATGTTCTCATTTACAATCTAATGTGTCCCTCATCTTTCCTTTTGTATTTTTCTTCTTCCTTTCCCAGGGATCTTGAAGCCAGAGCACAGAAGGAGTTCTTCCGAGCTTTCTTCAGGCTACCGAGGAGGGAGAGGCTGCACGGGGTCCTAGACTGCTCCCTCTGGACGCCGTTTAGCCGCTGCCACACTGTGGGGCGGATGTTTACCTCTGATAGCTACATCTGCTTTGCTAGCAAAGAAGACGGCTGTTGCAACGTTGTCCTTCCACTCAGAGAGGTACATGTAGACGTTGCCTTTCTTCTTTGCTGGCTTTGTTGTCAGGAGCCTTGGGGCTGCAGTTGGTTGTACTGAGTATTAGGCATTGGGCTACTAACCACAGGTCAGCGGTTCAAACCCTCCAGCAGCTCACAGGAGAAAGATGAAGCTGTCTGCTTCTGTAAAGGTTTATACTCTCTTCTAACCAGAATTATTCACTGGCTAGAGTGCTGTTGTTGTGAAGTGATGTCAAGTCAGTATAGGGTTTCCAAGGAGTGGCAGATGAATATGAACCGACATCCTTGCAGTTCAAACCAACCTTGTGGTTCAGTGCTTATCCTACAGCACCACACCAGGACTCCTAGAGTGTAGACATATGCTAACTTGGGTGACAAGGAAGGCAGTTAAAAAAAAAAAGAAGGGGGGGCGGGAAGGTAGTGATAATAAAAAGCAATTAAGAATGAAAACTTAAAAAGAGAGTGAGAAAAGAGGTATTTGACGTACCTCTGACCATCTTACAACAGAACCCCAGAGTAAGTCAGGGAATTGTTACTTCTACTTTTGAGGAATCACTAAGAGTAGAATACCAACTTTAAGGTCTCAAAATTTCCCAAGAAGGGAAACCTTCAAAATCATGGATCAACAGCATCAAACAAGATCCAAAACAGCGACAACAGAAAAAGATGTACAGTCTCGGAAACACTAGGTAGCATGTCAAAATCAACTTGATGGCAGTGCGTTTTGGTGGTACAGTGGTTAAGCACTTGACTGCTAATGGAAAGATTGATGGTGCAAATCCTCCAGCTGCTCCCATAAAGATTACTACTTTGGAAACCCTATGGGGCAGTTCTCTGTTCTGTAGGGTCACTATGAGTTGGAATTGACTCAGTGGCACTGTTTCGGATTTTTCTTAGTGTTCTGAGTGTGTACTTCCTGAAGCTAGCACCTTATCATTCTACCCAGTGGCTGCTGGCAGCAAGCTGGGCCCAGGAAGAGCTGGTAACACAGCAATTCTCCCACCAAGGTGGAAGGGCAGATGTGCTAGCTGGTTAACGGAAGCATTCCCCCACCAAGGTGGAAGGGCAGATGTGCTAGCTGGTTAACGGATGCATTCCTCCACCAAGGTGGAAGGGCGGATGTGCTAGCTGGTTAACGGAAGCATTCCTCTACCCAGGTGGAAGGGCGGATGTGCTAGCTGGTTAACGGAGGCATGGCCTGCATTTGACCATCATCCTTTGGCCTTAGCTTGTTTTGTTGCCATGGCAACCTAAAATGTACACAGATGTGATTGCTGTAACTTCCACAATATCGATAGAGCTATTATTAAAATGCCAACCACAGCCTCCTCTATCTTGCCTGAGACCAGAAGAACTAGATGGTGCCCAGCTACAACCACCAACTGCTCTCACCTGGCATACAGTCAGAATGGGAGGAAAATGTAGAACAAAACTCAAATTCATAAAAACAGAGACCAGGCTTACTGGACTGATAATAGAGGATAGAGGAAGTACCCCCCACCAAGGCTTTCATCCCAAGATATCTTCTTAACCCAGAACTGGAGCTTTTCCCAGAGGTTACCTTTTGGCCAAAAAATAGACTGCCCTAGAAAATAATGGTAACATTAATGAGGAACGTGCCCCTTTAAACCGTCCGGTATGAGACCAAAAGGTCAGCGTTTGCCCAGAAACAAAGATGAATGACAAGGAGAGGCAGGGAGATTGGTTGGGTGGAAATGGGGCAGGTGGGGTGGAAACGGAGAAGTGCTGACACACTGTGGGATTGTAAACAATGACACAGAACAATTTGTTTTGGAATTGATTGGAAATCTAATTTGCTACAAATGTTCACCTAAAATCCAATAAAATACTAAAAAAAAAAAATGTATGTGACATATGTGCTTAGCAATGATTGTTTTCCCAAAATCCCACAGGAATGAGCCATCCTCTTTCTCCCCACCAGAAAGGAAAAGAAAAAAAGGCAACTTAAAAAAAAAGGCTTTGTCTTTGGAAAGTGAATAGCAAACTACTTAACTAACTCTTCGTTGTGATTTGGATGAAAGTTTACAGAGCAAATTAGTTTTCCAGTTAACAATTTATGCACCTTTTGTTTCATAACCTTGCAGTCTCATCAGTATAACAGCATTCTTCTCCCTCCTCCCTGGGTTTCCATTCATCCCATCCCTGCCCCTCTCTGCCTGCTGAGCTTGGTTTGGGGGTGTGAAGTCTGTTCTGTGGTTGATTGTATTGAAGAATATGTTCCTCTCCTCTCCTAGTTAACTTTATTGTTGTTGTTGTAAAGTGCCGTGGAGTCGGTTCCAACCCATAGCGACCCTGTTAAGGGTTTCCAGGGAGCAGCTGGTGAGCTTGAACTGCCGACCTTGCAGTTCAAATGATTTTGCAGTCCAGTGCGTTAACCCACAGTGCCACACCAGGACTCCGGTTAACTTTGTCGGCCTGTCAAACTCCCTAGCTGCTGTGTAGAAGAAAGATGAGTCCATCTACTTCTGTAAAGATTTATAACCTCAGGAATCCTCGGGAGCAGCTCTAGCCTGCCCTGTAGGGTCACTGTGAGTTGGAATTGTCTTCACAGCTGTGGGTGGCTTGGTGATTATTGTTAACCTGAAAGTTGATGTCTGTGGGTGGGTTCAGTTCTAGACTTGAAGGGTCTCTAAGGGCCACAGTCTTGGAGGTTCCTCTAGTTTCTATCAGACTAGTAAGTCTGATCTTGTTAATAATTTTAAATCTTGCTCTAGTTTATTTTTCTTCCCATTCTGCCCTGAGCGTTCTAATGCGATTCTGATCAGAGCACTCCATAGTGGTAGCTGGGCACCATCTAGTTCTTGTGGTTTCAGGGTAGTGGGTGGAGCCTGTGATGCATACGGTCCATTAGTCTTTGGACTCACTGTTTCCTTGAGTCTTTGATTTCCCTCTCTCTTCTTTCTCCAGAAGGAGAGAGACTAATAGTTGATGCTTCAATGGCCACTCAAAAGTGGTTTTTTTTTTTTTTTTTCTGGTTTAAGTTAACTAATTCTTTAATGCTTTAGTTGGGGGAAAAAAAACTACTTGCTTTTTTATATAGCATATATTTTATTAAAGTTTATACTAATATTTTCTCATATTAAAAACGTAATTTAGTGGAAGAATCTTCCTTTTGAATCATCTGATAGCAGTTATACATTTAAAAACATTTAATAACAAAAAAGACAAGACAACAAAAGTTTTTTCTTTTTTACAGGTGGACATTGAAGTGGACCTAATTCGATTTTCTTTTTGAAACTCCAGAGAGAAAAGTAGATTCAAACCTAAATAAAATGAATTCTAAAATGTTTATACTAAACTACTGGTCTCCTGTACCATTTTCTGTTGTTTTGAGGCAGGCTCTTCTCTCTCTGGCTCTTCTCTTGCTCTTTTCACTGGTCCAGCTGCACCATTTTTATCACATTCATCATCACTATCAAATTTAGTTTTCTTTCCCTGAAACTGTATTTTTCCTTTAGCAGACCCAGCCTGGGCAACTTTATTTCCCTTTCCTTTTCCTTTAAATTTGCGACCTTTTGACTTCCATTTGGTTTAGAGATTCTTGTTGATCTTCCACAATTTTTTCAATGCTGCTTTTTCTGCCTCTCCTTCTAGTACTTCCCAGGTCACTTCTTTGTTCTTTAATTGTAGGTTACCGTTACTTGCATCCTTGGCTTTATCCAATACTTTTCTTTAGCTTTTTCTTTAAACAGAATTACTCCCTCTTTTGCTCCTCTGACAAAGTCTATCCACTTGATTTCTCCATGATCAGAGAATAGGCTGTGCAAATCTTCTCTACACGTCTGATTGTCTAAATCACCTGAAAATTTCAGTAAGCAGCCCATCTTTTCTTCTAGAGATTTCATTTCAGCATCTTCTGCTCACTTCTGTTTTTCTTCTTGCTCTTGTTTAGCTCGTAATTTAGCTTCCACTTTATTTTGCTTTCTTCATTCTTTTTTGCAAAGTAATCTTCCTTGAAAAGTATTAGCAGGTCTGTCTCTTTGTACTTCTGGCCAGTGGTCTCTACAAACTTCTTAGCAGATTCAATGTTTTCAAACACAACAAATATTGATCCCTTAAATGTTCTGTGCAATGTTCTTCTCATATGAATATTTAGTACTTGACCATTATCTTCTAACCATTCATTTATGTCATCAAGGGTTGCATCAGTTGGGAAGCCTTTAATATAAACAGTTGTGTTTTTCACATCATTTTTATACTCATCAGTCACTTCAGGGAGGGGTTTGCTTGGAGATCTTCTGATTTTAGTTTTATCATCACTTATTTCCATGAGTTCTGCTTTTGATTTACTCAATGCTTCTATTATTATATTAAAGTCTGTTGTTAGACGGTTTAACCTGTTGAATTTTATCATTGTCTCCAAAGGTACCCAGCCTTCATCGAGTTTGATCTGCTCCTTTAAAAATTTGTCCCGTGACAAATTAAAGTCACCAAAATAATACTCAATTTGATGACAGATTTTGGCCTCCTGCTCAGCCATCTTTTCACTATCGCCGTTTTCGGCCATTGTGGCGATCTGAAAATTGTCCTTTATGGTTCCGGTCCCACAGAAAAGCTCCACAGGAACCACTCATAAGTTTTTAAGGCCCCAGTAGCCACCCGCCAAAGTAGCATGGAGAACACTGTATTTGTGGGCTGTCTTAGATGTTTCCTGAGGCCGTTGTCTTAAGCCCCCAAGTTTTGGAGCATCTGTTAAAAGTAACAAATACTTTTTTGGATGTTTATCGGATCACTTCTTAATATGTTGTTCATTGTCGGCAAGTTGACTTTGACTCTTAAGTGACCCTGCGTAACAAGAGTAGAACCATCCCGTAGGGTATTCTAGGCTGTCGCCTTTATGGGAACAGATTGCTAGATCCTTCTGTGGAGCCACTAGAGAGGTTTGGATTGCCAACCTTTCTGTTAACAGTGAATACGTAATGGTTGCACTACTCCTTACTATAAATTTCTATAATTCTGTTCTTGGGAATGCGGTGGGAGGGGGAATAAGGAACTTACATGGACATCCAGCTCTAAGCATCTCAGTTCTTTGATTTCTAGACAGCATCTTGCTTCTCTGGCTGTGAAAGAGCCAGTGTCTCTGACACATCAAGGCCGCCATATTCTTGTGACTTGAGACATACAGATGGATCGAGCAAGCACTCTTTTTTGGGACAACTCAAAGCTCTTTCCTACATGTTTTCTTCCACTTCTGTCATTATTTTGCAGCAGAGATCTTCGTCTTATGAATACTTGTACATAGCAGCCAAGCAAGAAGACCAGTAGCTGCTGTATATATGTTTCGTCTGTCACACCACTTCCTAATAGCAGTTACTTGACTCTGTCTTCTAATTTGGGATGTTTTCTGACTAATTAAATGTCTCCTTTCTTTCTGCCTGTCTGTCTCTGTATGTGTGTGTGTTGCTCATTTAAACAGGTAGTAAGCATTGAGAAGATGGAAGACACGAGCCTGCTCCCCAACCCCATCATTGTCAGCATCAGGAGTAAGATGGCCTTCCAGTTCATCGAGCTCAAGGATAGAGACAGCCTGGTGGAGAGTCTGCTGGTGAGGCTGAAGCAGGTCCACGCCAACCACCCTGTGCATTATGACACCTCAAGAAATGAAGACATGGTAGGATGCTTCACAGCAAAGGGATTCTGCAGACTGAAAATTCTGTTTCATTGGTCTCCATAGTGGGGGGTTGCAAAGATTCTCTAAAAAGAATCTTCTGAGGTACGAGAATACGTTGGTGGTTACTGAACTGTGTTGTCAGACAGTCCATGATTACTTGTGCTAAACTGAGTGTTCTGAGTGGATATTTCACAGGTCAGTGGGGTTGGCAGACCACTGCATGTGTTAAGAGGTTAATGGAACAGTTCTTCCAAGTTAGAGAAATTAATGAGACACCCTCTCAGACATCATAGGGACTAATGAGATACCTCCACAGGGTGGAGGGGGATATATGAGATACTCCACAGTTATAGTATAGTAATTGATGAGACACCCCTCACAGATTGCAGGAGTTTATGAAACACCCCCCTTCCAGGTTCCAGGAGTTGATGAGACATTCCCTCATAGGTTATAGGGACTGAAGAAATACCCCTCACTGGCTGTAGAGATTGATAAGATATCACCACAGGTTACAGATACTCACAAAACACCCCCTCACTGGTTGGAGGGGTTGATGGAGCACCCTTCCACATATTAGGGAATTTGATGGTGTATCCCCCACAGGTTAGAGGGGTTGATGGAGCACCCTGCACATGTTAGAGAGATTAACAATGTACTTCCCACATTTTGGAGGCATTGGTGGGATATCCCTTTCCTAAGTTAGAGGGTGATGAAGTTGAAGTTATTTGGGGGCAAGTGTAACTTGGTAAAGCAAAGAACTTCATTGTTCCTAAGACTGAACAGTCGCAAACATGGGCCCATTCTTTCAGTGTCCAGTGCCCTTATCCTACTACATCTGTCCCTCCCTTCCGCAACCCCACCCTAAGGCAGTGAGAGAAAGGAGAGAAAGTATATCCTAGACATGTTTTCCAGAGATGCTCACCCAGATTGAAATTGAATACTACAGCTTTTCTGGCCACCATTTTGGGCTCATGCAGTGTAGCCTTACTTGGAGAACTCAGTCTGGATCATTTCACATCCTGTTGGAGTTAGTGGTAGTCAGGTGTTCCCCATGAGTCTGAAACAGATGAAAACCAAACCAACACCACAGTTGCTGTGGTGTTGATTCAGTCTCAAGAAGACCTCAGGTGTGTCAGGGTAGAACTGTCGTCAGTAAGGTTTTCAGTGGCTGGTTTTTCAGAAGTAGAGAGCCAGGCGTTGTTCCCAAAAGCCTGTAGGTGGACTTGAATCTCCATCCTTTCAACAACCAAGCACTTAACCATTTGCACCATAAATAGATAAAACCGAAACACCAAACCCATAGCGATCCAGGTGACTCTGACTCATAGTGACCCTCTAGGTTTCCCGAGACTGTAAATCTGCACCGGAGCACACAACCTCCTCTTCCTCCCTCAGAGCAGCTGGTGGGTTTGAACTGTAGACCTTGCAATTAACAGTCCAGTGGTTATCCTACAGTACCACTAGGGCTTCCTCCATAAATGGATAGGCACCTTTAAGTCTGTTTATATTCATTCATTCATCTCTCTTTCTCTCTGTTTTTGTTTCGTTTGTTTTTTTGACCACACAGACTTCACCTGTGTTTCATTCAACCAGCATGTGCAGTGATCACAAATTTGGGGATCTTGAAATGGTGTCTTCTCAAAATAGGGAGGACAATGAAAAAGAGAAGAGCCCACTGCTCAACCCCGAGGCCCTGAGAGCCATCTCCCAGCAGTCAGGCAGCCAGAGCCCCGACTCCCGCATGGTGGGTGAAGTGTTGGTGCCCACTTGGGGACAGGGTGTGATTTTCCCGTTGTCTGACCAGTCGTGGAAACTGGTGTCAGCTGGTGGGGCTCCGGCAGGGCCTCAGGAGTGCTGATGTGGTTCTGGGTCAGGGTACCGCAACTTTCCTCACTGGCAAAGAGTGAAAGTCTCAGTTGATGGCCAGTTGCCTGAGTGAGTCTGGGTGAATGTAGGACTTGATGAACTTAACTGAGAGGGATGACCGTTATCTGCCCCTACAGTGGTTCTTTGGTACTCCTGACTGCGCGGCCTGAAGTGCTGTCTCTAATGAGGTCTTCAGATGTACAGCAAATCTTCCCTCCTTCACAGAGCCTGCGTTTAGCTAATGGTGGCTCTGTGTGTGTGTTCTTTGCTGCAATGTTTCTTTTTTGTCTCTTGGGGCAAAGAGACACCATTTTCTACTTTTATTGAGCTAGAAGTACTTTTCTTACACTTACTTGTAGTTTTCCCTGTAAAGAGGATTTTGAGGCATGTGCAATAAGGTAGACAGTCGAAACGGACCTTGAAATGGAAGGTTGGAGGCCAGTGTTGCCAGTTGTAGGTACCGGGGACATTATTCGTCAACATTTCATGGTTCTTTGTGGTCACTGGATGTCTCTTTCATACGTGTTTTATTTATTTATTAAAGCTTTTATTGTGTGTTGAGTGAGTGAAGGCTTACAGGGCAGATCACCATTTTTACGTTCAGCAAATCATTGTAATGATTACAATCCCCACCATACACCCACGTTGTTGTTGTTGTTGTTGTTAAGTGCTGTCCAGTCCTCTTAGCCAACAGTACTTAACTCTATTACCTTTTTTTGATGTATACATACATACCATATTGAAAATAAATATTCATTTAAATGTCCAAAGGGCACATTTTGCAAGCCAGCCTCCTGCCCGCAGGTCCATGGACCTGTAGACCTCTGCTGCTCTGTCTCTATGCCATCGCCTCTGCCACTGTCTCTGTTGTCGCTGCCTTTCTGGTTAAGATCCCTCACTCCTCTCAAATGTTCTTCTCTCTTGATGGTCCTCGGGTCCCCTGTTCCTAAAATGACAGATTAACTGCTTCCCTCTTTTAGTTGCAACTCTTCTACATTTACAGTTGTGACAATCACCAACCAATTGACTTGATAACAATTACGCACAATTGAGTATTAAAATCCTATCACCCTCATCACCAGACCCATCTGGACATGTATCCTTTATACTTGACTGATGGTTTCATTTATTCAGAATGGGACTTTCTCACATGGTTTACACGTAAATGCTCAAGTAATTCTTTTTGATTGAATGTATCAAAATACTAAATATATTTATATACTTCTTCCATTATTAGGAAATACAAATCATTGAGAACATATATAAATATGGCCCCATGTGTTACAAAGGCTGATGGGGTACCCCCACTTGTTAGAGGGCTGACAGTGTGCTCCCATTTTTGAGAGGGACTGACTGACTACCTTATTTATAGATTAGTTGAGTTGGCTAGGCTCCCTCCTATGGGGTCTTTCTCATTTCTGATCATGTAAATAACATAATTTTGTTCAGGTTCCTTTTTCTCTCTGGCTGTCATGAAGGTCAGGGGTCACTCCCTTTGCCCTCTGAAGCAACCGACATTGCAACAGCCAGCTTGGTGCCAGCTCCTCAGAAAGCTTTCCTTTATGTAACATCCCTGCCCACCCAACTCCTCTGGGCTGCTTTAGTGTTTGGATATAAGTGATCTTATTCTCAGCATGGACAGAGACATTACATTTGTGTAAATGCTCTCATTGGATGAATACAGGCCTCGTGGACTATAATTACTGGTTTCTAGATTATAAAGGGGACAGTGCTTTTTCTGTTATGTGTTGCGGATGGACTATGGTACAGGGAGGGTATGGACAGGTTTCTGTGTACATTAAGAATCTTTCCATTTCCAGTCCAGAGAACAGATAAAAATAAGCCTGTGGAATGACCACTTTGTGGAATATGGCAGGACCGTGTGTATGTTTCGCACAGAAAAGATCCGGAAGCTTGTCGCCATGGGGATCCCTGAATCTTTACGCGGCAAGCTCTGGCTCCTGTTTTCAGGTAAGTGTTTCTGCTGTCTTTAGACCATATGCTGAGTTAGGAACTGACGTAGGGTCCGAGGCCACAGAACTGAGCACTTTGTGTATGTCTGCAGATGCAGCCATCTACTTCTGGGTTGTTTTTGGACAATTCCCAGAAAAAGGCTTTGGAAACCTGACTGTTTTCACTGTGGGAACTTGGTCTAGTTGCCTGCTGCCTCTGGGCTGCAGTGTTTGCCTCCGTAAGCGTGGTGGTCTGGGCCATATCTCTTAAAAATGACTTTATGTGCAGAGTGATGGAAATTCTATTAACGCCCTGGAAGTGAAGCATATTTATAGGCATGAGCTCTGAAATAAACTAAACACAAAGTCTTCGTAAATTGTGCCCTGGTGGCACAAAGCATTCAGCTGCTAGATGAATAATGATCATGGGCTTGAACCCACTAGTGGTTCCATGGGAGAAAGATGTGGCTGTCTACTTTCTTACAGATTACAACCTTGGGAGCCCTAGGGAGCAGTTCTAGTCTGTCCTACAGGGTCTCTGTGAGTCAGAATCGACTGGAAGGCAGAGGGTGTATTTGTTTGCTTGTGTTTGTTGTTGTTAAAGTGTCATTGGGATAAATTCCTGTGAGGACAGTTTCTGTTGCTCCTCTTTCGTTGAAGATGAATAGTGCCTGTAGGAGGCAATATTGCACATTTATCTTCTGTTTCTGTTTCTTCTTCCTACACCATTAGACTCCTTCAGCTATGACCTCATCAATGGCTACACTAGAGAGCAAATTTCAGCGTCTCTTCTGACATCCATCTTGGTCTGTCCTTTCTAGCTTGTCTTCTTCTTGCCCTTTTTGCTTTCTTCCTGTATGATATTCTTAATGTCCCTTGGCTCTTCTGGTCTTCTGTCATTAGTGGCTAATGCATCAAATCTGTTTGTGAGATGGCCTCTAAATTCAGGTGGGATATGTTCAAGGTCATACTTTGGCTCTCGTGGACTTGATTTCATTTTCTTCAGCTTCAGCCTGAACTTGGACATGAGCAATTGGTGGCGTGTTCCTCGGTCTGCCCCTGGCCTCGTTTTGGCTAATGATGTTAAGCTTTTCCACTGGCTCTTTCCACAGATGTAGTAGTCCATTTGATTCCTTTGTATTCCATCTGGTGAGGTCCATGTGTACAATCACCTTTTATGTTACTTTAAAAAGGCTATTGCAGTGAATAAGTCATTAATCTTACAAAATTCTGTCATGTGATTTCCAGCATCAGTTCAATCACCAAGTCTATTTTCTAACTACTGACCCTTCTTTGTTTCCAACCTTCGCATTCCAGTTACCAGTAATGATCCTGATTGCATCCTAATTGCTTGTTTGATCAATTTCTGAAGAGGTGGTGGTTGGTGGTGGTTGTGTGCCACCGAGTCAGTTCCAACTCATAAAACACTTAGGTTTTTTGAGGCTGTAAATCTTTATGGAAGCAGAAAGCCTCATCTACTCCTGAGGAGTGACTGGTAGATTCAAACTGCTGACCTGTGGTTAACAGCCTAGCTTGTAATTCACTACACTACCAGGACTCCATGTAGTTGGTAGAACTTGTCAATTTCATCATCACTGGCTTAGTGATTGGTGTGTAAATTTGAATAATAGGGTTATTAACTAGTCTTCCTTGTAGGCATATGGATTTTACCCTGTCACAGATAATATTGTACTTCAAGATAGATCTTGAAATGTTCTTTTTGGTGATGAATGCAATGCCATTCCTCTTGAATTTGTCCTTCCTGACATAGTAAATCATATGATTGTCTGGTTCTAAATGGCCAATACCAGTCCATTTAAGGTCACAGTAATGCCTAGGATATCTATCTTTATGTATTCCATTTCATTTTTGATAACTTACAGTTTTCTTAGATTCATGCTTCGAGTATTCCACGTTCCAATGATTCATGGATGTTTGCTGCTGTTTCTCTTTTATTTTGTGTGGTACCACAGCAGCAAATGAAGGTCCCGAAGGCTTTACTGGATTGATGTCATCTAACTCTGCTTTGAGGAGGCAGCTCTTCCTTAGTTGTACATTGAGTGCCTTCCAACCTGAAGGGCTCATCTTCCGGCACTCTATCTGACAGTGTTCCACAACTACTCAGCAGGTTTTCAGTGGCTAGACATTCAGAAATAGTCCGCCTCTCCTTCTTCCTAGCCGGGAACTCTGCTGAAACCTGTCCACCATGGATGACCCTGCTGGTATTTAAAATACCGGTGACATAGCCTCCAGCATCATGGCAACACATAATCCACCACAGTACAACAAAGTGACAGGCGAGTAGGAGTGGTTCCATCTCGGTAATTCTTTAAAGAGCACATTACTTTGGGCAGTGGCTCTTTAGAATTAAGCTAAACTCTCGTTTGGTATAAAGATGACTTCAGGGATAGTTTTGGTTATAATGTGTACAGGTTATTTTAGGGCAGTAGTTTCAGGGGTTCATCCAGCCTCCAAGATTCCCCAAAATTTGGATTTCATGGTAATTTGAATGGTTGATATGGATTGGTACTGCTTGTACCACCACTCCCCTTGGGCCACATGCTCACACATCCCTCATGCTCCCTGACTTCTGTCTCATGCTGGTTATCAGGTGCATGCCAAAGACACATCATCAAAACCTTCTCTTTGAATATTAAAAATGACTTCTGCATCTTTGTATTTTGCAAAAACAATGAATATTCATAGCTGAGAAAGAAAAGATGGAAGAGCAAGCAAAGAAAATAACAGTACACACAGTCCCACCACCTAAAGACAGGTGCGGCGCTGCAGGGTTGCTGGTTCAAGCTCACTGACCTCTCCTCAGAACTGACTGAACAACATTTAACAACAACAATGAAGACAGCATCTGTCAATGTCTTTGGTGGATATTTTTTAGGGTCTTTTAGGCACATATGTGCACCCATCCTTTTTATAATCTGCTTAGTCACTTCATATGGAGCTCTGGTAGTTTTGAATCGGGCTGCCAACCTCAAGGTCAGCAGTTTGAAACTACCAGCTGTTCCATGGGAGAAAGTTAAGGTTTTCTGTTCCCTTAAAGATTTATAGCTTCAGAAACCTTATACAGGGTCACTATGAGTCGGAACCGACTCCTTGGCACACCGGTCACTTTATATGGGGCTGTCTCTTTATAGTGATAGAATACCTCCTTTGCTCATAGAAATATTATTCTAGCTGTGTATATTGTTGTGTGCTGGTAAATTGGTTCTGACTCATAGCAACCCTGTCTAGGGTTTCCGAGAGTAGCTGGTGGTTTTGAACCTCTAACCTTGTGGTTACCAGTCTAGTGCTTATTTTACAATGGCCATTATTTACATACAGATAGCATAATGATTGTTTAACAGATACTGTGGGATTCTCAGTTGGGCATAGCAGATGGAAGAGTTAATGGGAAGGGTCTTTTACTAAACCCATGAGGAATTTTAAAACGTTAAGTGCCATCAAGTCAATTCCAACCCATAGCCACCTTGTATAGCTTTCCCAAGGAGCAGCTGGTAAGCTTGAACCACTGACAGTGTTTGCAGTCAGACGCATTAACCCACAGCGCTACACCAGGACTCCTAGCAGTAAAAGGCCCCTTTTTGCAACCCCTTGCCCTTCTAGCATCTCCCGCCATCGGTATCGGAGCCCACCATCCTGCCAGTCCCCATGGAGTGCTGCTATTAGCTGCTGTCGGGAGGGAAATGCTGTCTGCTCTTGTACCTGCACCATGAACAGTTGAAGATTTTAGACTCTTGTGACCCATAGGGTTTTCGCTGGCTGATTTTCAGAAGTAGATCACCAGACTTTCTTCCAAGCGTGTCTTTGTCTATAAGCGCCACTAAAAGCTGATTTTCAGAAGTAGATACCAGGTTTGTCTTCCTAATCTGTCTTAATTGGGAACCTCCACTGTCAGACCATTGGCAGCTGTCCATGAAGTGCATTGGCTGGGAACTGAACTTGGGTTTCCCACATGGAAGGTAAAAATTCGACCTCTGAACTAAAAAGCAGCCCTGGTGTTGGCTGATGAGTGAGCATCCTCATACAGTACTGAGTCATCCCTGACACTGGACTGCTGGGCAGATGAGAAGGCTGCGGAGACCCTGGCTGATGCAGGGAGGTTGCTGTGCTGGGTCCCCCTACTTTAGCTTATAGGCCATGAGCCCCCACCTCCAGAGCTGCAGCCTGGCACATGTTAGTTAACTTGTTATAATCGATTGTTAAGTTCCAACCCATAGCGTCCCGGTATAGGGTTTCCATTTCCAAGGAGTGGTTGGTGAGGTTGAACTGCCGACCTTGCAATCCAGTGCATTAACCTGCAGTACCACATTAGTAATCACCTTGCTTTGCTTGCAAGGTGCTCGATAATATACTGAACCTATGCATGACACTTCTGCACAGATAACAGGGGATTTCAACAAGTTCATGGACAAAGTCCATTCTTTTTTTAATTCAATTTCCCCCACAAATTTTTAAAGCCCCCTCATACGTACATTTCCTTCCTGTTGTTAGGAAATATAATGTATGGAAAATGTATTAATAAACTATTTCTACTATAAGCAAAGGTTATTCTTAGAAAAGCCCCATCATTTCTTGTTTTGTTTTTGTTTTTGACTTTGGCCTAGACCACATGGCAGGAGTGCGCTTTGGTTGTGTGGTTCTAAAATATTTGTTGTCCCAGATCCCGTAAGTAACTGCGTCTCACAGAGGTTCTCTGACAGGACCAATCGCGTCCCCACGTTGACACCACCCTGGTATTCCTCTTCTTTTAAACAATGGCTTTTAAAACCTTCAGATGCTGTCACAGACCTCGCCTCGCACCCGGGTTACTATGGGAATCTGGTGGAAGAGTCCATGGGAAAGTGTTGCTTGGTGACAGAAGAGATCGAACGCGATCTGCACCGCTCCTTACCAGAGCACCCCGCTTTCCAAAACGAAACGGGGATAGCTGCTTTGAGGAGAGTGCTGACAGCGTACGCCCACCGAAACCCCAAAATTGGATACTGCCAGGTGAGGTTGTGTGCACCAAGAGACTACCATCCACTAGGGGGCGCTGTATCTCGAGTTTATCCACCGGAATCCTCCAGTTCTGTGCTCTTCGGTCATCCAGTCCAGAGGGCTGTTTTGTGTGAAGCCACTATGCTTGGAGCTGTGAGCAAACCAGGGTCCCTCCCCTTAAAGAATATATACAATAAGGGCCCAAAGCATCATCTTTGCATAATAAAACCCAGCTAATCACTAAGGTTTAAGATGTCATCTAGTGCCTGAGGAAGGAAATGTTTATGCTGAGCTGTTGTCCAGTCCAGGGCAGATTCAGTCTTCATTGTCCCTCTAGAGCCTGAAAGTGGGTTGGGATTACAGCCTCAGAGCTTTGTTTATTGTAGAACTCTACAGAAATTATCAGGATGACTTTTTAAATGGCAATGCTATTGGGGAGGAAAAGATATTTAGGGCAGATCCCTTCCCTTCAGGACACACAAGGAAAACATCCTCTTGGTGTGAGCAGTTCCTAAGTTCAGGAACATAGTAAACAAACACAGCTGAAACTCAGTACATTAAAGCAACAAATAACCCAACGAGGCTGGATGAGAGAGGGGTTTGTGGCATTTCAGAGTGTGTAAGATTTCAAACTTTGCTCTCCTGAGTGAGCAAAACCTATGATGAATAAAATGGTGAGAGAGAGAGCTGGAGAGCAAAAAAAGAGAGCAAGAGAAAAAGAGCATGTCCACCGAGAATAGCAGCGGGATTAATCAAAGCCTGAGGCGTACAGATTAATCAAAGCCTGAGGCGTACAAGCTAAAGCCAACACTCCCAGCTGAAGGACAGTGACTCAGTGGTGGCTAATTGCTAAACCAATTGGCCTTATGAGGACCCAAGTTAGTATCATCGCTGTTCCATTTCCTCTTGTGAATACGGTTGGGATACTCTGATTTCTCTCAACTCCTTGATTTTTGTGGCTCACTTGGGCTTGTACATTTTTTAATCTTTGTGGTGTCACGTGACCTGGCCAGTAACTGTCTACTCCTCTCTGATCCCGAGCAGTCCATGAACATCCTGACCTCAGTATTGCTGCTGTATGCCAAAGAGGAGGAAGCCTTCTGGTTGCTGGTTGCTGTGTGTGAGCGGATGTTGCCCGACTATTTCAACCACCGAGTGATAGGTAAATCAGTTGTATCTACTTGGAAAATCATGCCAGAGCCTGGGGAGAGGTTTATCATCAGCCCTGGTTCTAAAACCCCCTCAGTGCCACTCAGCTGATCTCTGTGCAAGTACTCTTTGATTCTTGATTTTGAAAAGAACGCATGTAATTCACTGTATCGTTCTGACAAGATGGTGGAATAAAGTAACCCAGATACTGTCCTGCTACCTGCACATTTTGGATACATAAAAAACACATTATGTTAGATAGATAGCTGCTCTTACAAGAAGGTATTCCTGAGCCCAAGAAACAAATAGAAAAGTGAAAAACAAGAGTGGTTTTGCAGTGACACTGTGACCTGGGTAGACGGGAGAGGAGGTTGCTCTTGGTAACCCTGGGGCCTTGAACAAACAGGACACACTCCTGGTTCCTCTAGAGGTGACAAGGTGGGTGGAACTGAGACCTTGGTGACCCTTTGTTTTAAAAACGAAACCAGTGAAAAGGCAGACTTAGAATGATCCCCCACCTGCATGAGGGCATAGTAAAGAAGTGTATCTTTTGTGTGATTAGGATCTGAATTTGCCCTGTTTCTATGGTTCAGCAATTTCCTAGTGGAGAAATTAATATAAAAATTGTTTCCGGTTGACACTACTCTTGGTGTTTTTAAGTGCTGTCGGGTCAGTTCCAACTCATAGGAACTTTGCAGGGTTTCTGAGGCTGTAAGTCTTTGCAGGAGAAGAGAACCTCATTTTCTCCTTTGGTGTGCTCAAACGGCTGACTTTGTGATTTGCAGTCCAGTGCTTATCCTGCAGAGCCACCGCGCTCCCTGATGTTACTCTTAGGAACACGTACTAAACAACTGGACCACGAATATCCAGATGAGTCTGCCTCTGAAGTGTGCCTTTGACTGTTTTCATGGCTCCCTCGATGTGCCTGAGTGGTGAATTGGCTTGCTTCTCACCTTGTGTTGGGGAATACCGCTTAACATTGTACAGCGTAAACCTTAACATTGTACAGCGTAAACCTTAACATTGTACAGCGTAAACCTTAACATTGTACAGCGTAAACCGGAAAAGCAAACCTACTGAGTCAATTCGGACTCATAGCGACCCTATCTAGGTTTCTGAGACTAAATCTTTATGGGAGCAGACAGACTTTTCTTTCTTCTGTGGTATGACTGGTGGGCTTGAACCTCTGACCTTTGGGTAACAGTCCAGTGCCTAACTCCCAGCAACACCAGGGCTCCTTTTGTACAGACTGTTAAGTGCCGTCGAGGTGGTTCCGACCCATAGCAACCCTGCACAGGGTTTCCAAGGCTGTAAATCTTTACGGGAGCACAATGCCTCATCTTTCTCCCGTGGAGCAGCTGGTAGTTTCGAACTGCTGATCTTGCGGTTCGCAGCCCGATCCGTAACCACTACGTACAGAGCTCCTTCTTGTACAGACTAGCAAAGAATCATTAGAAGCTTAATGTATTGGGAGGCAGGTTATCAGAGTCAGTGTTTGAAGCCAGTGGGTGAAGACAACTAGATGACTGGTGTGGTTGCCACTCTGATACAGGATGGAGCCTTTGGAACATTTCTGTGACCACAAGAAATTCCCTTTTGCCTCTTCCTAGTTATTCCCTGCTCATTCCCTGCCACAGGCCAACATTTGGTACTAATTTGGCTTATTCTCTAACTTTATATAAATGTGATTATAGAAAATGTTCTCTTCTGGGGTTGGCTTCCTGCACACATCAGGTCTGACAGGCTTCCTGCTGTCGGATAAGTTGTTGTTGTTGTTATGTGCTTTTAAGTCGATTTTGATCCATAGCAACCCTGTATAGGGTTTCCAAGGAGCAGCTAGCTAATGAGCTTGAACCACCGACCTTGCAGTTCAAACAACTTTGCAGTCTGACGCATTAGCCCTCGACTCTGTTGGATAAGTAGTTTCATTTTATTGTAGTCCTGGTGTGGTGCTGCTTGTTAATGTGCTAGACTGTAAGGTTGGTTTGAACCGCAAGGTTGACAGTTCAAGCTTACCAGCTGCTCCTCGGAAACCCTATACAGTGTTGCTATGGGTCAGAACTGACTCAACGGCACTTCACAACAATAGCAACAGTATTCCTTTGTGTATTCATACTATAATTTGTTTATCCATTCAACTGTTGGTAGACATTGGAGTTGTTGCCAGTTTGGGGCCACTGTGAATAAACTTAAGGAGCTCTGGTAGTGTGGTGGTTACAAGTCAGGCTGCTAACCACAAAATCAGCAGTTCGAAACTACCAGCTGTTCCACAGGAGAAAGATGAGGCTTTCTGCTCCTGTAAAGATTTACAGCCTCAGAAACCTTATGCAGCCTCAGAAACCTTATGAGTTGGAACAGAATCCACGGCATATAACCACCACCACCATGAATAAACTTACCCAGAACATTCATGTATAAGTCATTTGTAAACATACGTTATCATTTCTCTTGGGTAAATATCTTAGGAGTAGAAGTGCTGGGCTCTTGGTTGTGGTGCTATAGGATAAGCAGTGGACTGCTAACTGCCAGGTTGGTGATTCAAACTCACTAGCCTCTCCTTGGAAACCTTATATAGGGTCGCTATGAATTGGATCTGACTTGGTGGCTTTTAACAACAACAACAGGTTGGCTATATGCTTAGTTTTAAAACAGAAATCACCAGTTTTCCAAAGTAGATGGAGTGTATGCATGCAGCTCTTAAATCAGCAATGTATGAGAGGTCCAGTTCTAAAGCCTTGTGGATTCCTAAGCTCAGTGGTTAAGTGCTTAGCTGCTAATGAAAAGGTTGGTGGTTGAACTCTACCAGCTGCTCTGTGGGAGAAAAATGTGACAGAAGGCTCTGTAAATATTACAGTGTTGGAAACCCTATGGTGCGTTCTACTCTATTTTGGGGGGTTGCTATGAGTTGGAATTGACTCAGTGACAATGGGATTTGTTTGTTGTTTTCCTTTTTTTTTTTTTTTTTTACGTAGGTGAGAAGTCACATAGCACATGTATTTAATTTGCATTTCTCTGATGACTGATGTTATGGAACATATTTTTCTGTGCTTGTAGACATTTTGTTTTATATTCTCTTTTGGTGTCTGTTCAGATCTTCTGCCTATTATCTTAACATTAGGGTGTTGTCATGTTATACTACCTAGTTGTCGAAGTTCTTTGTTTTGGATCAAACTGTCTTGTCAGATACATGTTGTTAAGTGCTGTCAGGTTGGTTCCGACTCTCAGTGATCCTGTATAGGGTTTCCAAAGAGTGGCTGGTGAGTTTGAACCACTGACTTTGAAGTTGAGTGCTTATATGGACTACAAATATTTTGTTCCTGGTTTGAAACTTGCATTTTCATTTTATAATGGTGTCTGCTGAAGAAGACCAGCCTTAAATTTTGATGAAGTTCAAGTTACACTTTTGATTATAGTTAGTGCCCTTTGAAGTTTTGCCTTTTTCCTATATTTTCTTCCAGCAGTTCTGTAGTATTACTTTAAATATTTAGGTCTGTGATTGCATTTCAAACATATTTTTCTGTATGATGTGAGGGAGGGGTTGAAGTAATTTACTTATGTATTTTCCATACAGATATCCATCACTCTTTTTTGAAAAGACTTTTCTTTTCCTGTTGTATTTTCACCTTAGTGAAAATGTCTAAAGATCAACCACTAAGTGTGAGTTCTTCTCTAGACTCTGTTCCATCTCATTGTTTCACATCTCTCATTGTAGTTTTGATTTGTGCTAACTTTGTTGTTGTTACTATTGTTAGGTGCCATCAAGTCGATACCGACTCATAGTGACCCTGTGCACAACAGAATGAACAATACTCGATCCTGAGTCAACCTCATAATCGTTGCTGTATTTGAGCCCATTGATGGTGCTCCTGTGTCAGTCCATCTCGATGGAGTTCTTCCTCTTTTTTTCTTCAACCCACCACTTTACCAAACATGATATCCTTCTCCAGTGACTGGTCCCTCCTAACAATATGGCCAAAATATGAGAGATGAAGTCTGGCCATCCTGGCCTCCAAGGAGCACTCTGGCTGCACTTCTTCCAACACAGATCTGTTTGTTCTTTTGGCAGTCCAGGGTACTTTCAGTATTCTCCTCCAACACCATAACTCAAATGCATTAATTCTTCTACAGCCTCCCTCCCTCACTGTGCAATTTTCTCATGCGTATGAGGTTATTGGAAATACTATGACTTGGGTCAGACACATCTTAGTCCTCAAACTGACTTTTAAACAGTATGACTCCATCTCTAAGCAAAGCCTCCTGACCTTCCTGTTTCAGGGGCTCAAGTGGACCAGTCTGTGTTTGAGGAACTCATCAAAGAGCACCTCCCGGAGCTGGCGGGACACATCAATGACCTCTCCTCCTTGGCGTCTGTTTCTCTCTCGTGGTTCCTGACTCTGTTCCTCAGCATCATGCCTTTAGAGAGCGCGGTCAATGTGGTAGACTGCTTTTTCTACGATGGCATCAAAGCCATCTTCCAGCTGGGGCTGGCTGTGCTCGAAGCCAACGCCGAGGACCTGTGCAGCAGTAAGGACGATGGCCAGGCCTTGATGATCCTCAGCAGGTACGTTCTGACACACTGGCGGGAAGGGCCAGTTCTCTGGGAGACCTCAGGAGAGACAGCAGCAGGTGCCCAGCAATGCCATTGTTGCAAGAGCATTTTCAGGTCCACTCTGCCTCTACCCTCCTGTCACCCTTTGGCCTCCCTGGAGGTGGTCTGCCATATGCACTGTGTCCCTTCCTCCTTCTCCACCAAGCAAGAAAGCCAGAAAGAGAGAGGACTGTGATACGTTCCTTTAAGAACATTCAAGGGTCTTGTGAGTTAGGTTGGACTCAACATTGACCTTGAATGGAGGAAACTCCAGGAATTGTTGGCTCAAAGCAGCTAACTGTATGTGTCAGACATTTTATGTGTAGAAACTGATGTGTTGCAAGGAAAGAAAAGTACTACTAGGCTTAGGACTGAAATCTAGTTCTCTCGGAGATATTTGGCAAGCTGAATGAAATTTAATTGGGATTCCCTTTAAGAAGGGGGGTAGTGATGATGGTTCAGTGGTCAAGTTCCCCGGTCCATTCAGGAGACCCAAGTTCCATTCCTGGCCAGTGTGTCTCACACGCAGCCACCACAGCTGTCAGGGGAGGCTCCGGTGTTGCCATGATACTGAGCAGGTTTCAGAAGAGCTTCCAGACTAAGATGGACTAGAAAGAAAAACCTGTAATCTATTTTAGAAAATTTGCCAATGAAAGCCCTTTGGATCACAAAGGTCTGATCGGATTACAGGGATGCCATATAACTAGTGTTTTGTTCCATTGTACCCGGGGTTGTTCTGAATCAGGGACCATCTGGATATCAGCTAACAGCAACATTGCTTTGAGGTGGGTGCTTCCAATCAGACCTATGCGCAGAATTGTGTGCACAGTGTCACTGGAGAGCCCTGAACTCCAGAAACTGATGCTTGGAGCCCAGACTCACAAGCCTGGCTTTATGACTGTCTTCTCAGTTTTGCTTAAACGAGGACATTAGTTGTCTTTCTCACACAGTGATTGGAGTCCCTTGAGCTGTGTATGGGAGTCTCAGACTGTATAAAATCCTTTGTCTGTGGTTCCCAGATGAGGATAAACCTCCATTTACGTGGGTGGTTGTGCTCAGGTTTCTAGATCACATTAAGAATGAGGAGAGCCCTGGGCCGTCAGTCGGCAGCTACCATGCCTTCTTCTCGGATGACCAGGAGCCCTACCCTGTGACTGACATTGCTGACTTGATCCGGGACTCCTACGAGGTAACTACAGTCCTTCCTGTTCTTGCCCCGTGCTCCACCGCTGCCCCTAGGAAGCTTGTTTGGAAGATGGGCTTTGAGGGAGGATTCCCTGGTGACTTGTGGTCTCCTGTTTGTACATAGCAGGGGATTCTGTAAGTGACTGAGCCCTTGTTGTCCTGCAGAAATTTGGAGATCAGTCTGTGGAGCAAATTGAGCACTTACGTTGCAAGCACAGGATCCGAGTTCTCCAAGGCCACGAAGACACCACAAAACAGAACGTGGTGAGTAGGGGATTCTCAGAGTGCCGGCTCACTATGCCAAGAATTCTTCCAGAAGAGATGTGTGGGTTCCTCTTGGATATGGAACATAAACATGCCAGCTCTGTTTTCATTGGATCACAAAGTCACGAGGGGTGACTTGGTGTACAGACAGCATCATTTACGGAATCAGAGTTAGAGCAGACTATCCAACCTGAGTTCGGTTATCTTATTTGTAAAATGGGGATAATAATACCCACTGTGTAGAATTAAATGAAATACCATGTAAAAAATGCCCCACGCAGATGGCTTGCAACAAGTATGAGTTGTTATTCGGAAGGAAATTTCTGTCCACTAGCTTTTCTTCACTGGCCTTTCAACTCCCATTAGAACTGAATATAAATCAGAAGACACGATATGAGTCTTTCTCAGGCATTAGAGGTGTAGGATAGGATGTGGGGAAGATCCTGTAAAGCCAGCTTTGTATCGGAAAGGACTAGAAGCTGCTCTGGTGGGAAAGGAGACATTGCAGGGGTGGTCAGCGCTACAACATGTCCTGTGCTCCACACTAGGAAGAAGAGCTTCCCCTCTTCCCTCTAATGCGCGTATCCAGGGCAGCAGGCTTAGAATTCACTCCATTGATGTTTATTCTTTCCTGAAGCTCCGTGTTGTCATCCCAGAAGTCTCTATTCTTCCTGAAGATTTAGAGGAACTCTACGACTTATTCAAGGTATGGAAATCTAGGAGGATGAGGGAGTTACAGGCCTGCATGCTGCCCAGTCTTCCCAGGGTGAGAGCACACAGATGCCATCGGTTGACCCTCTGCCCGTTTTGGGACAGCAGGGGCTGACACTGTCCTTGCCTGCCAGCTCTGTCTTAACTGCGTCTACTCGCGTTTACCAAGAAGCTTCACAACCTCACCCCTGTATCAGACACCAGGGAGGAAGGAGGCAGGGTGGCCTCTAGGCAGCCCCAGAAGCATTGCGTGGCCTGTGTGGATGCTCCTTCCTGCGCTCATCTGAGCACCCAGGGCCAGAGTTCATTCTCCTACACTGTCCACTGTTCTCATAAACACATCCCTGTACTCCCAGTCCACTGTAGATGGGACAGCATCCTATGTTGAAATTACCACCTACTATACTTTCACATATTATTTTTAATTGCTGTATTCCTGAGTCCTGGTGTGGCCTGGTAGAAGATGCCCTCGACCTCAAGGTTGGATTGAACTGCAAGGTTGGTAGTTTAAACTCACCAACCGCTCCTCGGAAACCCTATACAAGGTCACTGTGGGTTGGAACCATCTCGATGGCACTTAACAGCAACAACAACCAGACAGTTAGAGCCTCGGCTGTTGGGAAGCTCTGCTTAATTATCACGCATTTTTCTGCAGTCCCTGAAATAGTCGTTGGGTTAGTATTTACGGACACTCTGCATCTATGGTCAGCAGGACGTGGGGCGAGACTGTGCAAGCCCATGCCCCCCATTAACATGACCTGTTTACTTTCTTGCATGAAGATAAAATAAAGTCAAGGGTTACTAGGTGCCCCATTCTTCCACCATCTCTTGGGAAGATGCAAGGAGGAAAAAGAGGGAATTCTAGAAGCATAAGAGAAGGTAAACAAAGGATGTGTTTTGCAATTTAAAAAGTCTTTGGTTTATTTAGTACTTTTCTGCTAAGTATAAATATAAATACCACCTACACACAGCACTCCCACAGAACCTAAAAACTCTTTAAATACAAGGTGTTTTTGTTTTTAAATAAACTTCCAAAGGAAACTTTAGTAAAATAGTCAAGTTGTCTGGTTTTGTCTGTACAAACTGTACACTCATCTCAGTACTTTGCTCCTTGACAGTCCCGTTTCCAGTCAGGACTTCATGTGTTTTCATCTGTGTTTTACTACACATATAAATGCTGTAGGGCATAATGTTCTCTAGTTGGGTTTTAAATGCATTTCTTGCCTTTAGAATCAGAATTTGTTTTTCTCAAAGAAAAGGGCCACATAGAAATGCCCTTGCAATGTTTTTATAAACATGGGATAGAGTATTTTACTAAAAATTGTTTTATGGTAGTGAAAACAGGTATGAGAAAGCCTTTGCCATTTCAACACATTTTGCAACACATGTGCAACTCGGAGTTGTGCTCCTGTTTTGCAACCACCCCCCCTCACTGTATTTCAGAACATTCCACCACCCTTAACAGAAACTCAGTGCCCGGCTCTTCCTCCCCTAGTGACCACTAACATACTTTGGTCCCAGTGTATTTGCTGATGCTAGAGATTTCATATAAATATGCATTATGTGGCCTTTTGTGACTGACTTGTTCCATGCAGTCTGATGTTTCTGACATTTATCCATATTGTCACATGTATCCGAGCTTCATTTCTCTTTATAGCTCTGTAGTATTCTGTAGGGGTCTGGGATGTATTTATCTGCCGTAAGATAAGTCCTGGACTGCTGATCGGAAGGTTGGCAGTTCAAACCCACCAGCCACTCGTCAGAAACCCTATACAAGGTTGCTATGAGTCATAACCAACTCGATGGCACTTAATAACAACAACAACAATAATCTGTTGATTTCATATTTTGGCAATTGTGAATAGTGCTGTAATGAATGTCAGTATTGCTATTTAAATAGTATTTTATTTTGTGTTCAGTGAAGGTTTGCGTAGCAGTATAGCAGTTTAGGTTCCCGTTTCATAATTTCTACACAAGTTGTTCAGTCACACTGGTTACCTTCTTCACAATGCATGGATACTCTCATTATTTTATGTCTGGTGGTTCCGTTTCCATTAATCTAGTTTCCCTGTCCCTTTACATTCTCATGTTGTTGATAAAGTTCCTTCGATTTGGTTCCAACTTATAGCAACCCTGTGTAGGGTTTCCAAGGAGCAGCTGGTGGGTTTGAACCCCTGACTTTGCAGTTAGCAGTCCAGTGCTGAACCTGCATCACCACACCAGGACGCCTACATTCTCATACTTATTTTGAATTAATTGTGAATTGTTGTGGTCTTGTTGTTGTTGTTAAGTGCCATCCAGTCAGTTCCCACTTATATAGGGTGTCTAAGGAGCACCTGGTGGGTTTGAACTGCTGACCTTGTGGCTCACAGTCTAGAGCTGATCCTATAACACCATGTTTTTAAAGGAGCCAATCTGTTATGTAGTTCAGAGGTGGCCTCAGGGACTTGTTTCCATTCAAGGTGTGAAGAGTTGCTGTGAGGGGTTGGTAATAAGGAATCTGTGCCCTGACTTCATTTTGTGTGTCCTGTCATGCTTAATGTGAATAAGTCACAGCTTGGATTATCTTCTTTATATACTCTTTCTATTAGAAGTGAACAATGTGATTGATACTTGTTAAGTTCTTTAGAGTCAGTTCCAACTCATTGCAACCCTGTATAAGGTTTCCGAGGAGTGGCTGGTGGGTTTGAACCGCTGACCTTGTGGCTAGCAGTCCAGTGCTGATCCTATAGCACTATTGGTGCTCAGTGACTATATTTTTACTGTTAAATCAATCCTTTGATTTCCATAAGTTCTGATGTGTGATGTTTCCTGCTCTTTGAAATTGAAAATTCCTACTCCTCTTGGTCAGCGCTGGCTTTTTGTAGTGACAGGAGCAGCTGTCTCACAGCTATCTCATCCCTCGTTTCTAAGAGAGAACACATGATGAGCTGTTACTGGGAGCAGCCCAGCCCTGTGGTTCAGCGTCATGACCCCAACAGGCCCTACGCAGAGCAGTACCGTATCGACCACCGGCAGTTTGCAAACCTGTTTAAGCTTGTCTCGCCGTGGACCTGTGGCACCCACACGGAGATCCTCGCAGAGAGGACCTTTAGGCTCCTGGACGACAACATGGATCATTTCATCGAGTTCAAAGGCTTCGTTGGCTGTCTGGGTATGCCTTTGTAGTCTTAACTGCAGTGAGCTGCTTTGGGATGTGAGTCTGGGAACAGAAAGCGAAGCAGATGGTGGAGCAGGCAAACTACCCAATGCAATGCTTCCGTGACTGGCCTGACGTGAATAGGATTTTATTTTTATCTAAATCTTGATGTAGTGCCGTAGGATAAGCACTGGATCTCAAGGTCGGTTGAAGAGCAAGGTCGGTGATTCAAACACTCCAGCCTCTCTTCAGAAACACTATACAGGGTCACTACAAGTCAGAACTGACTGGACGGCACTTAGCAACAACAAATTGGATTTCTTTTGCTGCTGAGAATATGCACAGCAGAACATAAACCTCGTCAACAGTGGTGTGGATGACAGTCTTTCAGTCATGCAACCTTATTCTCTCTCTCCCTCTTTCTCTGAATTACTCCTTCCATTACCATAGACTCACGGCCCCCTGACGTTATGACTTTGATTTTAAATACCATGATGCCCGCTTAGCTGATGGCCTTCCTTAAGGGTGTGGGTCTGGGCACAGGCGGAGATGTCTGCAGGCTCTCAGTGTAAGCTGTTGACCTGCTTCTCCTCTTTGGCACCAAAGAGTCTGGTGGTTTGGCTTGCTAGAAGCCACATTCCTTACCTTTTGACATAAACTGAAATCTTTCAAAGGAATGAGATCAGACAAAATCCACCAGGCTGCCTGGTAGCTTAAACGTCACCATTTGCTGCCTTTAAAAATTCGCATTTCACCATCATAAGAAGCAATAAATTGGTTTTCATTTTGCAAAGTAATAAAGATTAGTAACTCTAAAACATTTGCTAAAAAAGGAGTAAGATACCAAAGTACTAAAAGTATCAGAAATAGACACAAATGCAAATCATTTGACTTAACATGATTATAGTCTGATATAATTCCCACATGTACAGTATTAAATATGTACCAGGGATGATGATCATGGAGGAAAGCTATAGTACTGAATAAACTAGATAGTATCTACAGCATACCATTCGAATTTTGCTTCTGTGGGAGCTCTTTTACAACTCTGTATATTAATTGGTAACAGTGCAACATGATTGTTGTCTCTATAAAAAAACAAAACAAAACAACAAACTCTCTGCCATTGCATGAATTCTGACTCATATGATACTGTATAGGATTTCTGAGGCAGTAGATCTTAATAGGAGCAGAATGTCTCATCTTTCTCCCACAGAGTGGCTGGTGGGTTTGAACTTGCCAGTCTTGTGGTTAGCAGTCCAGTGCTTATCCTGAAGCACCACAAGAGACAAGGAATTCTGCCCAGTGGAGGTTTGATTGATTTTCCTCTCCTACTGTAAATGTAGGTCCTGGTGTGGCGTCGTGGCCTAATGCGTCAGACTGCAAAGTCGTTTGAACTGCAAAGATTGGTGGTTCAAGCTCACCAGCTGCTCCTTGGAAACCCTAATACAGGGTCGCTATGGGTCAGAATTGACTTGAAGGCACTTAACCACAACAACAACTGTAAAAGAGGCCAGTCTCTCTATCTGACCATTCATTTATTTTCATGCTCCTGATCTGTCTGGTTTTTGCAATCTCCTTTGAGTTGGTTGAAATATCTTACTAGTTTTCCCACTAATGAGTTCAGTAAAATCTTTAACAGGTTAAAAATTTAAAGCAAGCAAATAAGCAAAACCATTTCTAATTTCAAACATGCAGTATCTGGGCATAAGGAGTAATAAATGTTGAGCTCAGTGAATTTTTGTGTCATAACAAATGTACTCTGTTGGCAGCTTTAAAGTTTCTCTCTCCTTCGACATTTTGCAGATATTATGTATAATGGAGAAATGAATGAAAAAATCAAACTGCTGTATAAGCTTCACATCCCTCCAGGTAAGGAATCTCAAGTTAAAAACTGAGGACAGCACTCTTAAGATCAGCTTTCTCTATAATCATGATGTTCTTACTTTAAATTCCATGAAGACTCAAGATGACGGATCTTTCTAGTTTGGAGTTAACAAGATCGGTTTTCTGTACAATAATGAAGACTCAAGGCAATGGGTGTTTCCAGTTTGGGGTTACAGATATCACAATTGCCAGTCCTGCATGGTTGGATGGCAGTAGTTCTCAGATGGCAGCCCATTGGAGTCACCTGGCGGCCTTGTGAAAACCTGGCTGACTGGGCCCCACGCGTACATGTTGCTGACTCACTGCATCTGTGATGGGCCTGGAATTTGCGTTTCTAGTAGGTTCCCAGGTGCTCTCTATACTAACCTCTGGAATGAGTAGGGGAGCCAGATCCTGGTTACTTAGAATAGATGGTTATGCTAGGCTACTTTTTTGAAGGATCATTTCATTTTTCCAGCACACCCCACCAGGCTTCTTTTACATCTTTTACATCTAAGCAATGGTAACCAGGAACAGAGGGCACTCATGGGGCAGCGGCCAAATTCTGTCTTCCAGGCTGGTGACTTTAGTTCAATTCCCAGCCAGTTCCTATGGCCTGTCAGTGGAGGCTTGTGTTGGAATGATGTGGAACAGGTGTCCGCAGAGCTTCCAGACTAAGATGGACTCAAAGGAAGGTTTGATGATCTGCCTCTGAAAATGAGCTCATAAAAACCCTGGAATCACAACTACCTCACCTCCCACCAATCCTGAGGATGGCACAGGATCCGAGAATGTTTGGTTCTGTTGTACATGGACCATCATGAGTTGAGGGCCGCCTAGCTAACACACAACCAAGAACAAAGGAAGCCTGTGAGAGCAGACCTAGCATTAATGGGAAAAAGAACAGGGACATGTTCAGGTAAGCCTTGGATCTTTAAAACGGATGGCGATGAATTAGGAATCTCAGAGGGTCTCTGGACATCAGTGCCGTGAGGGAGCCTTGGGAGGCTGGGGCTGTGAGGAGGGTCCGAGGACCACAAGCTCATGGTGGCTCTTACAATTATTAGATGATACACAAAAGTTGAAATTCATGTAGATGTTACTTGTGGGCTTTCTGGGTACCCTTCCTGAACCCCATCCTAACTACACGGGCACGTGGTATTGTATGCCCTTTATCCCCAGAGTGTGCTCTGGGGCCACACACAGTTCCTCCCGACCTCCCCTAATGCTCAGTATTACTTTGTCTCAAATTGTTCTGCTTCAGTGCCGTTCTTTGTTTTTATGCCAGTGTAAGTTAACTGACTTGTGTTTTTAATTTAACATGCCCTGTGTGGTGTTATGGGTTAATGCACCAGACTGCAAAGCCATTTGAACTGCAAGGTTGGTAGTTCAAGCTCACCAACAGCTCCTCCAAAACCCTATACAGGGTCACTATGGGTCAGAAATGACTCGATGGCACTTAATTTTTCTCAAGTATTTTTCTAACGTAGAAGATAGGCATCTTTTCATAATGTTCATCTAGTATCCAAAATAAAGCCCCCACAAAAGATCAGTTGTATTGACGAGATTTTGACTCAGGGTGTCCCCATGTGTGCAGAGTGGAACTGTTCCGTAATGTCTTGAAGGCTGTGGTCTTCCCAAAGCGGGGTGCTGGGCCTTTCAGAGACATCTCTGGGTATGTTTGAACTGCCACCTTCCCACTTAATAGTCAAGTGTTTAACCAATGGCACCACCCAGGGACTCCTTCTCTGGTATCAGGGGATCCTAAATAGAAATGATTGGTTTTATTTCTTTATGTAAGTATTGTATCTTGGAAGGAGCACTGATAGCTCAGTGAACTAAGCACTTGATTGCTAACTAAAATGTGAGTCTGCTTTTATAAATACTGCAGCTTTGAAAATGCTGTGGGGCAGATCTCTTGGTCCTGTGAGTCAGAATCCACTTCATGGCAATGGGCTTTGTGTTTTGTATTGTATCTTGATTTCCTAAATAAGGTTTATTTTGGAATAATTTTAGATTTATGAAAAGTTACAAAGGTAGTATAGAGAATGTTTCTATTCTTCATACATTTTTAAAATTTATGGTTAACTTGATATTTCCACATGATTCTTGATTTTGAATTCATAATGAATTTGTTTGTGTCTAAGTTTATTTTATTTCTAAAACAATTTAATTACTTTATTACATTAAAGGCATTGGTAGACGCTCATGGCTTCAGAAAACATTTTCAAAAACTTTTTCAGCATAAGTGATTGTAATATTTATATTTCATGACCTTTAGAATTGCATGTAGGATATATGAAAACTAATATGAAAAATCACATTTATTTGTCCTAAATGTGCTAAGTTTTTGGTAATGTTTAGTGCTTTTTTTTACCGGACACTTTCTTTGCCCAAGATAACAGAACAGTCCTTGAAAGTTCATTTAGTTAGAATGGCTTCACATTCCTTTGTACTAAATGTGTACAGTCCAGAGTGGCTGGGATCAGGTGGTATTTGTGTGGTTGAAATTAGCATCCATAGAACTGAAGATAACAGAGCAAGTGATGCCATAGGAAATGTGAAGACACTCAAGCTACACCCACCATACTGGTTCTTCACTGTTGGGTCACCCTTTTCTAATGGCTTTATCAAGGAACAACAGTGTAGAGTAACTTGGGTTTCCTATTTTCAAGAATGTGCAGTATGTCACAATTTCTATTAAAACCCCAGAAACTGAAGGATCAAAATATTCATGGGAATGGCCCAAATGACCTGCACGAAACAGGCTCCCTAACTGAAATGAAACAAGAGCTGGATGAGAAATCCAACCAGGCTTGGGAGCTTCACTCAGAGAGTAGAAATGACGTGTCTGAACATGCAGTTGGAGGAAGAAATGGCCCTGAAAATGGATGATGCGTGGGGCAAACTTGCAAAGGCAACTTCTGGGACCTTCCAGTTCAAGCATGCTGATACAAACTATATCAGAAGTGAGACCTGGCACATTTATTTGCTGATAGATATGGAGCTTCGGCTGGATGAAAGATCATTTACTGCTTTGGATTGGGATCCTGAGTTGAAAATGCAACTGAGGACTTTGAAAATCATCAAAGTGTAGAAAAACAAACCACCTAGAAATCCTCTTGTGAAACGAGAATATTGCAAAAGTAAAGCTAGGCTAGGCTGAAAGTCCTTGCTGTTGTCCAAATTGTCAAGACACCCTGATAATAGACACCATGGATTAATGATCCTGCCTGTAAGTATTTGTGTTGCATAAATCTCAAGCCATTTTCTTTCAGTGGCTGCAGGAGAAATCAGTTGGGTACCTTAGTTGATGTTCCCTGCAATGACGTGGACATGTCCGAATTCGATCCTTGTTGCTTTCGCTTGATTGCTGTTCCCAGTTACCATGGAGAGATGGGAGGAGGGCAGTTCAAGGATGGAGAATGGTGATTTTTTTGGACAGTAGTGTCCGGACTGCATCCGAAGGCTAGATTGTGTCCAAAGTAGCCTATGTGTTCTTCTACCACAAACAAGGCACTCTCAGTGCGGCTGGCTCTTTTCCTCTTGTTCAGGACGCTGAAGGGCCTTCACCAGCAACAGGCATCCCTGGGAAATGAGAATGGCAGTGGTACAGAAAACAAAAACTGTGCACAAACTAGCCAGTGAAAGTCCACGCTGCCAAAAAGGATACTTTCCCTACTGGTGGTAGCTCTTCAGTTGATGAAGTTACCCCCACATTAAAACAAAAGTCTGAGATACAGACTTTCCGTTGACCAAGTGCAAAACAAAAAACAAAAAAAAAAACAATTTTTTCCCCCCGATCTTAACTTGTGCAGTCAGTCCATGAAGTGAGAGCCAATGAGAACCTTCATAGAAATTATCTTGTATTTACAAGTGACGCATATGCTGTTGTTGTGAAGTGCTGTGGAGTTACATAGCAACCCCATGCACAACAGGACAAAACACTGCCCGGTCCTGCGCCATCCTCAGTTGTTACGGTTAAGTTCATTGCTGCTGCCATTGTTTCAGTCCACTTCCTTAGGGGTCTTCCTCTTCTTCGCTTACCCTCCACATTACCAAGCATGGTGTTCTTCTCCAGGGACTGGTCCATTATGATAGCGTATTATGTCCAGAGCTTGAGAGATGAAGTCTCGTCTTGCTTGCTTCTAAGAAGCATCCTGGCTGTGCTTCATCCAACACAGATCTGTGTGTTCTTCTGGCAGTCCATGGTATTTTTAATATTCTTTTCCAACACCATAATTCAAAAGCATCGATTCTTCTACGGTCTTTATTCACTGTCCAACTTTCACATGCATATGGTGGTGGCTTGGAAACCCCTTATAGGGTTTCCAAGGAGTGGCTGGTGAGTTTGAACCTCCAGCCTTGTGGTTCAAGCTCACCTTGAGGTCCAGTACTTTATCCCACAGCGCCACACCAGGACTGTACATATAGACAGTCACAAAACTTTGAAAAGTCATGTTTATAAAAGTTCAAATATCTCATTTATAAAGATCAAAAGGATATTATTTAAATTTTTCTATAAACTCAGGATTTAGTATTTCCCCCTAACAAGTTGTATTTTGTATTTATGTATAAAGATATAATGGGATGAAAGTGTTCAGAGACCCCACACCACCTCCAGCACACTCTAGTGTCTCTTCCTAAGTGGAGTCATGGTCTGTGTGCCGTGGTGTGAACTCAGCTGCGCTCGCTGCTCCATGGGCTGGGTTGGTTTCTCCGGCTCATTAGCACCACTGATACTTACCCTGCCTCCTTCCTGGACACTCACCCACCCCCAGAGTTAATGGCTTCCTTCTCTGTACTCCTAGGACAAGTATGTGCTGGTTCTTCTGTGGTAGCATTGTGTTAGAGTGACTCACGTACATATTTTTCCTCCTTGGTGTACACCAAGGTCTTTGAGGATAAACACCCACACTCTTCTTGGCATGTTGTTAAGTGCTGTCAAGTTGGTTCCAACTCATAGTGACCCTGTACAAGGTTTCCAAGGAGTGACAAGTTTGAACTGCCGACCTTACGGTTCAGACTGATCTTGAGCCCAGTGCTTTATCCCCCAGTGCCACACCAGGACTCCCGAGAAAACCCATTTCCTTTCTCACTGTACCCCAAGTGCCAGTCAGGGTTTATAAGTTTCCTCCTGTCCAGTTTCTGAGTGGACTCGCATATGAGGTAGCTCCAAAAATTTCCTGGAAATAATCCCTTTTAATTGCATTTAAAAAAAAAAAAAAGTTTTTTTTTTTTTTAGGCCCCTTCGTATGTGTCACTACTAAGAATTCATTTTAGGCAAAGTTACAGAAAAATGATTTAGTGAAAAACACCGACTAACAAAAAAACATCAAACAAAACTGAACCACACAGAAATCTTAACCTCCCAAGTGGGAGAGTCAATCATCAAAGGCTTAGGTGCCATCTGGTGGAGATTTATTGAATCACAACTGAATTTTGCCTTTGATTCAATTAATGGTTTATTAGTAAGTTTTTATTGTGAATTCAGTGAAAGTTTACAGGGCAGTTTTACATTCAACAAATCATATACTTTGTTTCATTACAAGGATTATAATCTCCATGTACCATCATTTAACAGTATTTCTTTCTATACATAATAATTTAAACCACCAAAGGGCACATTCTACAAGTCTGCCTCCCGGCCGCCAGTTCTCAATCTCTCTCTTTCCATGAATCTAGAGTCCTCAGCAGCTCTTTCTCTCCATGTCCTCATCTCTGCCTCCATCTCTGGTGTCACCGCTTCTTTGGATAGGGTCCTGCATTCTGCTTGTGCTCTTCTCCCTTGATGGTCCTAGGGTCCTCTGTTTCTGGACTCTAAGATTAACCAGTCTCCCATTTTTGTTACAAAACTTCTACACCTTTACAATTGTGACAGTCGCAATTGGTCATGATAAGTTACTCACTGTTGAATCATAAGAATCTTAACCCCATCTCTTTTCACCAGACCCATCTAGACAAGATGAAAACTATTCAGTGGGGACTCTGTCTTACCCCACACCCTCTTTAACTAAACTCCCTCTTGAAACCTTGTAAGCCAGTCACTGCATGCCTTTTCACCCCCTCATTTTAGGTAGCCGATGCCTGGGTTGCCCGTCCTATCTACCCTGTGTAGAGTAGATAGCATTTAGACTCCTTCCCTCTCTTGTTAGTAGTTTGAGCTACTACCTCCATGAGTTATAGGTGAAGTTCATCAAGTTGTAACAATTTACCCTCGTTTTCCTTTATAAAAAAAAAAAATTTTTTTTTTTTTTTTTA